CCAAAATGGGCATGCTGAAAAAGTGTGTCAAGCCGCGTTTGTAGCTTGACAAAAATGCTGATCAAGACCAACCATAACCACCATAACCGTTATAACCCAACTCATCCAATATCTAGTCAAAAATCTGCGAGTTCTCATCCACACCCCATTTGTTGCTGTCATCTGTCCCCAAAAAAAAAACGGAAACTCCAAGGTATCCCTGGCCTCCAACCATTCCAGCCAGAAGGATTCGGGCAAAGCCACCTGTGCTTTGCAAGCGGAACTCGTCCGCAACAAGGGAAATATCTGGATTCACTCCCACAATTTTCCCATAGTTGGCATGTCTCAATATTTACTTTTGTACATATATGATTTGTATATATTTGTATTGATTATATCTGTATATATATATATATAGAGTATTCTTATATATCCGTTTTCATTGATCCCATTTTCGCTTGGCTTCAACCCCATCCTTGCTTTGAAGCCCATGTCTTAGCACGGCTAATCCTAGATGACCTACAACAAAGTAGTGTCTTCGCTGGTTAAGTTAATATATGGCAATGCCAATTTTTACAGCAAAAAATGGAGATGATTACAGAATAGTAAAGTACCCATCCAAAGATTGACCCAATTAAGTAAGCATGGGCCACTCCTTGACTAGAATTGATTATTATGTATATATATATAAATACAATTCAATGATGGTTTGATAAATTGTGTTTACCCACGTTATGTATCAGAAACCACTGTCACGTGGTGCCCATTCTTTTTAAAGTTGGTTCGTTGACCCCATTAACTATAGATTTATCCATCAACCATAGAATTCACCTTTTTGAACCAACTGAGCTAAGTAGAGGGAAGCAGCTTGCAGGAATTCACATTGCTTTCACCAAAAAAAACATCGAATTCACCGACTTATACACCAAATTACACCAACTTAGCGATCATAGATCAGCTATAAATCCCCTGAAATCCACCATTTTTCCAATAAGTTTTGTTTACATTGGCTGATTCCATGAAATCCCATGAAATCCCATGAAATCCCCATGTTTCCCATGGTTTCAATGCCTTAAAGCACCAACCAACTCGCTGCCACAGCAGCGCCTGCCGCCAAGGCGCCAGTGCCGCCGCTTCCTCCCGCGCGGCACGCAGCTTCTGCAGCGACGCTGTCTCTCGGTGGGCGCTGACTAAGGCGAAGTGGAGCTCTTGGTCGTAGGGATTTTTCTGCAAATCCTCGAGAAATAGATCAGAATTCATGGGATCATAGTTAACTTATGTTAACTTAAGGGGATTCTCGGATTTTTGATGGATGGGAATATCATAGAGTTGACTTGGGGATCAGAATGAATCATGGGAATATCATGATGTTGGATGGATTTTTGTTGAGAAGGATTCTTGAGTGATGCTGTGGGTTTTGGTGATCATGGGGGATAGCGATAATGGTCCCTTTAGTTAGGCTCGTTACCATTTCTTTAACTATACTTGTAATTTTAAACTGGTTTAACTTGGCTAAGTGTGATAACGTAGTAGTTTCTACTTACAGAACTTATTTTCTAGATGACATATGTATCCAGTTCGAACTATATAATTACTGCTTCCGTGGTTTTTGTTTTCGGAACGATTTTTGCGGATTTAGAAATTCCACTGACAGTATTGTGCCTATTGCAGCCTGGATTATGTCTTGGGAATTCTTGGGATAGCAATAACTTTAAAAATATGATAACTATTTGGCACATGATCGTGAAATTCAAAACGGGAACGCGGCGTGATGCGTTCGTCTATCCACAGCTTCTGGGTTCGGACAGGGAAAATGAATTGGACATGACATGAGAGACTTTATATAAATCTGTGCGTACGAAATGGAAACTGATTGGTGAACGCTGAGCAGGATACACAAGCAACAAGACTGATAATTACCATTGGGTTTTAACAGCGCCATGTACCAATCCTGTAGCTAGAACAAGTGAGACAGGCTCCTGTTTGTCCACAAATCATTTTCAAAATCAACGGTTGGAAGGTCTCCTGATCCGAATATAGTATACATATGTATACATACAGTATGCATAGAATATGTATAGAATATGTATAATATTATACAAAATCATACAAAGAGAGGATATGAATGGAATTGAATGGATATGAGATGATATTACTGGTTGCTGGAGGGTTCAACCCATGCACAACATACTGGTCAGGTTTGACCATCATCACAACCAGCATTGAAACGACAATCGCAGCCCTCCCAAATGATCCTCCATCAACTGCGCGACGAAGTTTTTGCGTGTGGGCATGGGCACTTCGCCATCAAATTCCTCGAGGGAAGCGAGTTTGGAAGTCGATTCCATACTGGTTAGGTCGTAATAGTTTCCATATGTTCCGATAATGGATTATGAATGGATTATGATAATCCCCAATATCTTGGGTGCTACATAATCCCCTACAAGAATTATCAACCAACAAGGGTTTTGAACACTGCTAAAGTTGCCACAACAGTTTGGGGAAATGGATCAGAAAAGCTCTCGCAAGGGGCCACAGATCAATGGATTAGTGGATATCCATGGGAAAATGATCACCAGAAACCATGCTTTGTCCATCTTTGTCCCATCATTTCACAGACCCTTTCCGGCTTCAAGTTTCCAACCAATCCTATGATTTCTTCCTCAAATTTGGTGGATTTAACCGTGGGTTTTCCTTCCATCTTGATCCAGGTCTCCGAGTCTTCCTCTTCCTCCTCTTCGCTCTCCATGTCGTCCACTTCCGCCATGGCCAAGCGGAACAAATGGCTTGGTTGATGCTGTCCGGATCCATGATATGATCCATACATATATATATATATATTATATCCATATTATATCCATATGTTTTCAACACATACTGTATATATTTTACAATTATAGATCCATGTTCTCTTGGGCTAAAAAGCGGCCCTGGGATTTAAGAGTGTGGAGATCCGTACTTGACCACTGAAAAAGTTTCGCTATGGAGCCCTTTGGGTGGCAATGGCATCCTCTGCATCCAGTGGAGGTGTTGGTTGCTGGGCAAAAATATCAGACAAGTTGGCTCCAAGTGGCCCGGGATGTTCTACATTAATATCTATGATATATATATATAATATAATATAATATATACATGAAGATCAGGGAGGTGTACCAGCTTGATTAAAATCCATACACGTTTATATCTAAAGTTCAGCTTGAGCAACGTGTCCAAGACATCCCACACTTGGGAAATCCCGAAATAGCGAGGTGCCTTCAGGGACGCAAGGTTCAACAAGTGTGCAGGAGCAACGATTCCATTCTGCACTCCCAAGCCGTACATCGCAAGAATCATGGACAAGAAATGGCCATACCCAAGAAAAATCCAATGGTTTGTCAAACCTCACAGAATCTGCATGAAAATGGCGAGATCTTTCCGCCTATATTCTGGGTGCCTGTGAACGACCCCAAACTTGTCTTCCCCCAAAAAAAAATGTTTCCAATTCCGGTTCAAGAGGTGCTATACTGCTATACCCATTATTAGTTTTTTTTTGTCACTCTTAGTCATTATTGGTTATTATATATGAGTCACTATTAGTCATTGTTCGTCAATATAATCCCCCATTAATCCCATCCCCCATCAATCTAAACATCTAAATGTTAGTCCCAAAATGTCCCAAAAATGGGATTTGTCCCGAAAATCGCCAGCTCCCCCGCCCCAGCCACGCGCCATGAATTTTTCGGGCCGATCAATTGACCGCGATCCCCAGAGCTTCGGCGGCTTCCTCCATGGCGGAGAGCTTGGCACCGCGCGCACCGCGCATGTGCGGTGGTGCCACCTAGGATCTCAACCCGTTTGACCCAAGAACTGGGGATATGCATACTGTACACTGTACACATAGATATAGACTCTGATATCTAGAAATATGTCACCACAAAATTATCCAACAAATCGGACTGTGGAATGACTAACCTCTGAGTCCAATGGGAGACCAAACATCTGTGATTCGCGCAGCACCCTCTCCGCCGACCTTTGCAACATGACCACCATGCTCCAAAGCTGCAGCTTTCAAGGTCTCAAATGTCCAGTCCAAAAAATCAAGCTGGCTTATATTGCTGAAAAATACATTAATATTCACATTGAAGTCTCCATTTCTTACTGATTCAACATATGACCATATGACATCATATGACATCATATCATAGAAATTATGTGGTAAACCCAACAATAAACCATCCCTAATATCACCATCTTAATGGGTGGGAGGTATCCCCATGGTAGGTTTATGACACCAAGGCACCAAAGGTTCCCCAGCAAAAACCAACTCCGCGTCTTGAAGAGCATGAACTTCCGCCTGGGCCCGCCGATGCAAAATGTTGGCTATAATGGAAAATGATAAACTAACATAAAATAACATAAAATATCATGAAATGACATAATATATGACATAATATGACATGACATAACATAACAAAACATAACAATATTCCACATCACATCACATCACATACATAATATGTACTTTAACTGACTATATCATTGGAAAATACTTACGGAGGTGCAGTTTCAGCTATAAGTGGTTGTATAACCCCAACTGCATCCCGAAGTAGGTCAAAAATCTCCCATGAAATTCCCATTCAAAAATCCCCATGGAAGTTCCATTGAATCCCATTGAATTCGCATGAAATCCCGGTAAATCACCAATTTTCGACATTTTTTCTGGGCATCTATCGATCACCAAAACAGGTGCGCTCGTTTAGATCATCAAAACATGGCTCGGTCCGACTCGGTCCCACCGCACCTTCCATTGGTTGCGAGGGGCTCCACAATCCTCCAGGCCTCCCAGTCCAGTTTTGGTGCTCAAATGGGGATGGGTCAAAATTAGGTACCCCAAAATTATGGATGGTTAATACTAAACTAGACTAACATCTGTGGTTCCCTAGGTCTTCCATTTTGACCCATCCCCATATTGGAAATCGGTGCTTCATGATGGTATGATGGTAAGAATGATGGTAAGAATGTAGTAAACCCAATGCCAATGCCATCCTCCCATTAACGATGGTCCAATTTCATAAACCTCTACTGGGGACGGTGATTTTCCAGGCAGCTATGGTATTGATCGAGGGGTTATCCGTTCGACATATCAGTAGCTGACACAGCCTTTTTTCACATGAGTCGAATTTGTTTCATGGCATCAATAAACATCAAACAACATGTCCACACCATAAAACTGAACAATTACCCTTTGGCAATTTAACATAGCTATGGACATCTTGAAATGAGAATTAATGAATTTTAATAAAAACAGATTAGACCAAGAAGAAAATCATCCATAAATGATAAATGAGCCATTTTGCATGGCTATATTAAACAACCTGAACAAAAAAGCAACAATTTATGAGTGAATATGTAACTGTGGCTTGGACACCATCAGTCATTGGGTCAATACTCATGTTCAAACTGGGATTGTTCCTTTTGGATCCTTTTGGTCAGATTGGGATGCTGCTTCCCCTCAAAGCTATCGGAGAACTTCGCTTCTCGCTTCTGGATCACCATGGAAACACCACTTTTTTTAGGGGGTGTTTTTGTGGTGAAATGACCTGAAAAACCATGGAAAAGTCGCAAAAAACCATGCTAAACCCATGATCTGAGCCGGTTTTTGATGCGCCTCCGAGCCGCCAGATTTGACCAACGTTGGTCTTAAACGTGGCAGTTCATATTGTCTGAATATATAAAGGTTGTTACCAACACATACAAAAAACACATCCCAAAAAAAACCACTTGTTGTGAAACCCCGGGTTCAAACCGTTTCTAGATGTTTCTGAATTAAGCGCCCAAGTGACTTTTGATTTCGGCTTCCACGGACTTTGCCTTGAGCAACGACTTGGACGAAAGGACCAGCTGGGGACTTGGGTGGTTCAAACAACACTCCCCTTGTGATAGAAATAGATGGCTCGGTGCGGTTTTGAAAAACCACCTATGCAATAGATTGTAATATATTGTAATAGTGTGTAAAAAATTGGCGGGTCCCCTTTTTCAATCAACTTACCAATCGTAAAAGGACAGCTATGGCTTCAAAGCATTCAAAGCGATCGGCCAGCATGTCAATGAATGTCTATGGGCCAAGCTTGGGCTGCCCTAAGAAAGAGGGCACCGATATACCCAAACTCACAAACCCCTATATACAGTACCCTTCTTCCACCGATGTCTTGAAAAATCCGCCACGCTTTCCACTTTCATCCCCCCATTTTTGCGCACATCCACCAAACATCACCTTCCTGGAGAGTGTTGTGAAAAAAAAGAACCGACCAAAATATCCTCTCGCCATTCAACACAACTCTGGAAAACCATCATGTTTTGAAAACGGCACATCATCGACCTATGAGCCATGGCTTCGAGTTCTCCCGTTGTCGTTTCGCCTGTGCGACGTGAAGCTCCTCAAGCTCCTCATGTCTTCTCTGGCGTTTCGCATGGAAGTCCCTGCCGGGGCGGCCTGGTACCCCCACATGAGTGGCAATCGGATATTCATCACGCCCTAAATTAAAAACGAACAAGCTGCCTGTAGATTTAATGCTGCGATCTGTTTTTTTTTCGGAAAAAAGATTTGGGGACTTCACGTCCCCAAGGTGACCCCCACAGCTATGAGGGCTTAATTAATGGTTTAATGGCTTATTAACCACAAAACAGCCACGTTTTTTGGGGTCTGAAGCATCTGTTGGCCTGTGAAGCATCAATTTCTGCTGTTCTGTTTCCAACCTCGACACGTTGAAGCAGACATTCTGTTGGGGGATTTGGGCGTACAAATAGGGGAGTTGCCCCAGAAAATGAGGTATAAAGCTAATAAAACCAACTATTCTATGATTCTATGGGGATAGCATGGGGAACTCAATGGGAGTCATAGAGCCAACAAAATGTAACCAACAATATGAGATGGTTTGTCCTCAAAAGTGGGCAGTGGGCCCCAGATTCATGATACTTTCATTGGGGAAAGTGATGGTCAACACTTGGAATTCAAATTTGGGTACTTCTTTTCGCACAAACTCATATATGCAGGTCCTAGAAATTAAGAATGTAGAAGAGTTCGGGAGCTGCTATGATAGTGAATTGCTTTTCGGGACCTTGTGACTTAAAACAGGCTGATGCGCTTCTGGTCCTTTGAAGCATTGGAATCATTGGAACATGATGTTTTTTTGGGGCTACAGGATTCCAAAACAAGGCTAGAAGCGGCTAGAATCTCCGCCAGAATGGCAGGTCAATTGATTGACCATCTACTTTGCTCAGTGATTTGCAGTAGATGGATGGTTCACCTCACCTCGTTAAAACGTGGCTCGCCGACACAGTGACAGAACCCCAACCCAGATCTGCAGCAACACGTCCCACAGCAAAATAGCGGGACTTGGGGGACTTGGGGGACTTGTGGGATACAGTATGGGTATGGTTCCCAATATTCAACCCCCAAGTTTGAAATTGGTATACCTCGGGGATTGGTTGTCAACATGTTTCCCACCAAATGCACACTTTTGGTTCAACAATGTTAAACATTGTATTTCCAATGTTCAGCCCCCATTTTGCTAAGAAGGACAAAATTGAATTTGTCTGAAAATAGCGTACTCCCCCAATGCCCAAAATCCGTTTGTTAATCATCATTACAGTATCCCTGCGAAAATTGCCATAAATGCGGGGAGGGCATACCCCATGGTCAAGCATACCCATCATCATATTGTTGGTTGTTTATCCCTAAATTATATATATATATATACATATTGTGTCCACCTAAAAAATCTCCATTGATGATTGGTTGTATCCCAATTATATACCCAATTAATTACCCTCTGGTGAACTAACATAGCAATGGAAAATCACCATTTTTCATGGGGAAATCCACTATAAATGGCAATTTTCCATTGCTATGTTAGTTCACCAGAGGGTAACCACTATAGTCTGTGGTTAAACCACTATTCAGATGGCTTAAAATGCACAGTCCCCCCCATTGGCCCAGGGCTGCCGGACGCCGTTTGCAGCTCTGCACCGCGCTGCAACACCCAAGTTGCAGAGCTGGGCAACGGATCTGCACAATGCGGAAGGACGTGGTCCAGAACAAGACCCCAATGTTCATAAAGTGAGAACAAAATCATCTAAATGGTGATGGGTCAAAATTAAAGACCTGGGGACCACAGATCTTAGTCTATAGTTAGTAATAACTTGTAATAACCATCTAGTATTGGGGTAGCTAATTTTGACTCATACCCATATGGGGGGGTTCCAATCCATAGGTGTAGCCCCCATCATCCAAGTTGAACCCACGCTTTTGGGTTAGCCCCATTTTAGGAAACCACGCTTGGTGACCATCTCACGATGGGTATTCAATGCAACTGTTGGTTATGGAAAATATGGGTATATGTAGCTTTGCATAGTTATATACAGTAATGCTGAACAGCTATGTACATGATAGAAAGATGGATGGATGGATGGATGGATGGATGGATGGATGGATAGATTATATATATATATGTAGATTATATAGATATATAGATTATACAGATATATATATATATATATAGATTATATAGATGAATAGAACTATACAAATTGAAATAGTTATATATAACATTTAATGTTTGAAAATAGTTGAACATATCAAATAATACTACGTATTTGATATGTATATGCATAATATACATGTGCTCATGGGCAATGGCAATGGGAACCCCGCGCTTTTCCCACATAATTCATCACAATGGGCAGTCTTTCCCGTTTTTTTTCCGAGGTTTGATACCCGAGGGATCTGTGTCCCACATGACTACGCGATCTGTACCCTCTATACCCCAAGGTCTGGACAGTTGAATACACAAAATCCCAAATTTGTGGCGATTTATGGCTAGCTCAACTCCACTAAACCTAATTGTTTTAAAAGAAAACTAATGGTCCCATGTAAATATTATGGTGTCTTTAAAAATAGACTGCCAAAAAAAACACATGGTTTGAAAATGGTTGAAAGCAAATGTTCCTTTAATACTCTGGATGGTTCAAAATTTCCTGCACCAGTTGGTAGATTTTTGATCCCGAAAATAATACTTACAACTATTACAGTAATCCCATATTATCCGTTCATTGTGGATCCCATTATATACATTGCAATATCTTATAATTAATCCCATTATTTACAGTGTTTCATAGTTACCTAATAGTTGTCAAGCAGCTTTGCACCTGGCTCCTCCTGGAAGGACTGTTGGAGAGCCGTCAGGTAGCGCCTCACCAAAAAAAACGATGCCGATAGCCCCCATTTCAATAAACAATTACTATAGTAAACATATCATGTATGGAGATATAACATTATATAACTTTTACACCAACGAATATTCTTATTTACCACTTACACCCACGAAATCTAACATAGCATAGATCAGCTCTGGCACCGACTCATTAACATAGCATCCGGTACCGTTGTGCGGCCTGGGGAAAAGGAGATAGGTAGATTTTGGGCCCGTTGGGCACCAACTCATAAACATAGCATCCGGCGCCGTTGTGGGAATAATTTGTGCATTCCCCAGGAAATGGAGATCAAAAACCTGCGATGGGTGCTAACCTGGCAGCTGAAAGAGACTGACCTAGCTAGAATCCTGGAAGGCCGAAATGCTATGCTAGTTTTTGTTTCCCCTGTGTATCTCCCCGGGGTGGTGATCCCAATGCAACGAGTCGGGGTGAGCAGCAGGTGAGCAGCAGCAGGTAAGCAGCAGGTAAGCAGCAGCAAGCAGCAGCAAGGAGCAGCAAGGAGCAGTAAGCAGCAAGGAGCCAGATTGGCAACATCGACCAGGAGTTTTTTCCTTATTCAATCTATTATGTAAAACTGTTCGTTTTGAAGCTTTTTTGGGCCAGTAAGGGTGAGCCCCAGGAAGACATGCAAAAACAGTTGTGCCAGTCATGATTTTCAATCCAAAGCAGAGTTTTGGCAACAGTATTGCTAACATAGCATTTGCCCAGGGTTCCCAAAACCTCCAATAGTACATCATAATCATCATGGCAGCAAGGAGCCAGATTGGCAACATCGACCAGGAGATCTTTCCTTATTCAATCTATTATGTAAAACTGTTCGTTTTGAAGCTTTTTTGGGTCCAGTAAGGGTGAGCCCCAGGAAGACATGCAAAAACAGTTGTGCCAGTCATGATTTTCAATCCAAACCAGAGTTTTGGCTACAGGATTGCTAACATAGCATTTGCCCAGGGTTCCCAAAACCTCCAATAGTACATCATAATCATCATGGCAGCAAGTAGCCAGATTGGCAACATCGACCAGGAGTTTTTTCCTTATTCGATCTATTATGTAAAACTGTTCGTTTTGAAGCTTTTTTGGGTCCAGTAAGGGTGAGCCCCAGGAAGGCATGCAAAAACAGTTGTGCCAGTCATGATTTTCAATCCAAACCAGAGTTTTGGCAACAGGATTGCTAACATAGCATTTGCCCAGGGTTCCCAAAACCTCCAATAGAACATCATAATCATCATGGCAGCAAGAGCCAGATTGGCAAAATCGACCAGGAGTTTTTTCCTTATTCAATCTATTATGTAAAACTGTTTGTTTTGAAGCTTTTTTGGGTCTAGTAAGGGTGAGCCCCGGGAAGACATGCAAAAACAGTTGTGCCAGTCATGATTTTCAATCCAAACCAGAGTTTTGGCAACAGGATTGCTAACATAGCATTTGCCCAGGGTTCCCAAAACCTCCAATAGTACATCATAATCATCATGGCAGCCAGGAGCCAGATTGGCAACATCGACCAGGAGTTTTTTCCTTATTCAATCTATTATGTAAAACTGTTCGTTTTGAAGCTTTTTTGGGTCCAGTAAAGGTGATCCCCAGGAAGACATGCAAAAACAGTTGTGCCAGTCATGATTTTCAATCCAAACCAGAGTTTTGGCAACAGGATTGCTAACATAGCATTTGCCCAGGGTTCCCAAAACCTCCAATAGTACATCATATTCATCATGGCAGCAAGGAGCCAGATTGGCAACATCGACCAGGAGTTTTTTCCTTATTCAATCTATTATGTAAAACTGTTCGTTTTGAAGCTTTTTTGGGCCCAGTAAGGGTGAGCCCCAGGAAGACACGCAAAAACAGTTGTGCCAGTCATGATGTTCAATCCAAACCAGAGTTTTGGCAACAGGATTGCTAACATAGCATTTGCCCAGGGTTCCCAAAACCTCCAATAGTACACCATAATCATCATGGCAGCAAGGAGCCAGATTGGTAACATCGACCCGGAGTTTTTTCTTTATTCAATCTATTATGTAAAATTGTTCGTTTTGAAGCTTTTTGGGGTCCAGTAAAGGTGAGCCCCAGGAAGACATGCAAAAACAGTTGTGTCAGTCATGATTTTCAATCCAAACCAGAGTTTTGGCAACAGGATTGCTAACATAGCATTTGCCCAGGGTTCCCAAAACCTCCAATAGTACATCATAATCATCCTGGCAGCAAGGAGCCAGATTGGCAACATCGACCAGGAGTTTTTTCCTTATTCAATCTATTGTGTAAAACTGTTGTTTTGAAGCTTTTTTGGGTCCAGTAAGGGTGAGCCCCAGGAAGACATGCAAAAACAGTTGTGTGCCAGTCATGATTTTCAATCCAAACCAGAGTTTTGGCAACAGGATTGCTAACATAGCATTTGCCCAGGGTTCCCAAAACCTCCAATAGTAATCACAATCATCATGGCAGCAAGGAGCCAGATTGGCAACATCGACCAGGAGTTTTTTCCTTATTCAATCTATTATGTAAAACTGTTGTTTTGAAGCTTTTTTGGGTCCAGTAAGGGTGAGCCCCAGGAAGACATGCAAAAACAGTTGTGCCAGTCATGATTTTCAATCCAAACCAGAGTTTTGGCAACAGGATTGCTAACATAGCATTTGCCCAGGGTTCCCAAAACCTCCAATAGTACATCATAATCATCATGGCAGCAAGGAGCCAGATTGGCAACATCGACCAGGAGTTTTTTCCTTATTCAATCTATTGTGTAAAACTGTTGTTTTGAAGCTTTTTTGGGTCCAGTAAGGGTGTGCCCCAGGAAGACATGCAAAAACAGTTGTGCCAGTCATGATTTTCAATCCAAACCAGAGTTTTGGCAACAGGATTGCTAACATAGCATTTGCCCAGGGTTCCCAAAACCTCCAATAGTACATCATAATCATCATGGCAGCAAGGAGCCAGATTGGCAACATCGACCAGGAGTTTTTTCATTATTCAATCTATTATGTAAAATTGTTCGTTTTGAAGCTTTTTTGGGTCCAGTAAGGGTGAGCACCAGGAAGACATGCAAAAACAGCTGTGCCAGTCATGATTTTCAATCCAAACCAGAGTTTTGGCAACAGGATTGCTAACATAGCATTTGCCCAGGGTTCCCAAAACCCCCAATAGTACACCATAATCATCATGGCAGCAAGGAGCCAGATTGGCAACATCGACCAGGAGTTTTTTCCTTATTCAATCTATTATGTAAAACTGTTCGTTTTGAAGCTGTTTTGGGTCCAATAAGGGCGAGCCCCAGGAAGACATGCAAAAACAGATGTGCCAGTCATGATTTTCAATCCAAACCAGAGTTTTGGCAACAGGATTGCTAACATAGCATTTGCCCAGGGTTCCCAAAACCTCCAATAGTACATCATATTCATCATGGCAGCAAGGAGCCAGATTGGCAACATCGACCAGGAGTTTTCTCCTTATTCAATCTATTATGTAAAACTGTTTGTTTTGAAGCATTTTTGGGTCCAGTAAGGGTGAGCCCCAGGAAGACATGCAAAAACAGTTGTGCCAGTCATGATTTTCAATCCAAACCAGAGTTTTGGCAACAGGATTGCTAACATAGCATTTGCCTAGGGTTCCCAAAACCTCCAATAGTACATCATAATCATCATGGCAAGGAGCCAGATTGGCAACATCGACCAGGAATTTTTTCCTTATTCAATCTATTATGTAAAACTGTTCGTTTTGAAGCTTTTTTGGGGCCAGTGAGGGTGAGTCCCAGGAAGACATGCAAAAACGTTTTGAAGCTTTTTTTGGTCCAGTAAGGGTGAGCCCCAGGAAGACATGCAAAAACAGTTGTGCCAGTCATGATTTTCAATCCAAACCAGAATTTTGGCAACAGGATTGCTAACATAGCATTTGCCCAGGGTTCCCAAAACCTCCAATAGTACATCATAATCATCATGGCAGCAAGGAGCCAGATTGGCAACATCGACCAGGAGTTTTTCCTTATTCAATCTATTATGTAAAACGCTTCGTTTTGAAGCTGTTTTGGGTCCAATAAGGGCGAGCCCCAGGAAGACATGCAAAAACAGTTGTGCCAGTCATGATTTTCAATCCAAACCAGAGTTTTGGCAACAGGATTGCTAACATAGCATTTGCCCAGGGTTCCCAAAACCTCCAATAGTACATCATAATCACCATGGCAGCAAGGAGCCAGATTGGCAACATCGACCAGGAGTTTTTTCCTTATTCAATCTATTATGTAAAACTGTTCGTTTTGAAGCTTTTTTGGGTCCAGTAAGGGTGAGCCCCAGGAAGACATGCAAAAACAGTTGTGCCAGTCATGATTTTCAATCCAAACCAGAGTTTTGGCAACAGGATTGCTCACATAGCATTTGCCCAGGGTCCCCAAAACTTCCAATAGTACATCATAATCATCATGGCAGCAAGGAGCCAGATTGGCAACATCGACCAGGAGTTTTTTCCTTATACAATCTATTATGTAAAATTGTTCGTTTTGAAGTTTTTTATGGTCCAGTAAGGGTGAGCCCCAGGAAGACATGCAAAAACAATTGTGCCAGTCATGATTCTCAATCCAAACCAGAGTTTTGGCAACAGGATTGCTAACGTAGCATTTGCCCAGGGTTCCCAAAACCTCCAATAGTACATCATAATCATCATGGCAGCAAGGAGCCAGATTGGCAACATCGACCAGGAGTTTTTCCTTATTCAATCTATTATGTAAAACTGTTCGTTTTGAAGCTTTTTTGGGTCCAGTAAGGGTGAGCCCCAGGAAGACATGCAAAAACAGTTGTGCCAGTCATGATTTTCAATCCAAACCAGAGTTTTGGCAACAGGATTGCTAACATAGCATTTGCCCAGGTTTCCCAAAACCTCCAATAGTACATCATAATCATCATGGCAGCAAGGAGCCAGATTGGCAACATCGACCAGGAGTTTTTCCTTATTCAATCTATTATGTAAAACTGTTCGTTTTGAAGCTTTTTTGGGTCCAGTAAGGGTG